ATTTGTAATGCTTCCATTTAAACATCTTTGTGGAGAAACAGTTTTTTGTTCAGAATTGCTTGTTTACAAAACAACTGGCATAAGTTGAAATCATAGGGATGCCGTTTTCTTCCGTTTCTCAATGGATTTTATACTTGAAAAGGCACCAAAATATGTATGCAATACTTCTACATCAAGAAAATGCAATCTCGCATGTGAGGTTGCCTAAATTTTATAGAAGAGAGTAAAACTTGTCCTAATTAAAAACGGTTCTCTCTTTTAAACTTAATTATCTTTGTTCTTTAAACGACGATATACATATTGGCGCTTACACAATATGTTAGGTTAGTGTTTGGTTTACTATTACCAACAGAGGGGCAACCGCTGTTAGAAAAAAACTTTTTTGTTTTTTATATTTTGATGTTGGTGGGAAACTGGGCTTGAACTCAGGCGCTGCGTAATGCTCTACATCAGCTGGTATATTCAAAATACTATCCCGAACATCGGAGTGTATATATGTAATATAAAAAATAATGAGAGGTACTATAAGAAAATGTACCCAAAATTCAGGAAGAAATGAAAAAATGCTCATTGAAAATAATTCACATGTATATATTAAAAGATATAACAAAAGGAAAAGTTAGAAAAAATAGCAATGCGGTTTGAAGGAAACATGAGACCATAAAATGTTTGTTTGTTTCGTTAATTCTCTGAACCTTTTAAGATATGACACTCCATTCTTTGCATTAGTTTGCAAATATACACTAATTATTCTACAATGGCAAACATTTTTGTATGATGTTTTTCTTTAATTTGGAATTGAAAATACATTACGATCATATTGTACCGAAGAAAGTGTGGTATCCCTGCATTTTGTAAAAGCCAGAATGAAGCATCAACTGTATGAAAAAATGAAAGGGAAAGGTATACATTCCTTCTATAATTTTGACCTATATGTATATTTGGCAAGTCTTTTTGTAAACAACAAAAAATACACATTTTCATTTCTTTGCCAGCTTGGCCAATATAGGCTACTTTTACTTAAATGTGATATAAAGCTCATTAAAATGTTATGTAATGTCTTGTTATCATAGTGCTTTGTATTTTTATTGCCCACCATACGTGAGTTGTTTCTATTGAAAAAGATCTAGTACAACGAATTTTTTTGTTTTGAAATTGTTTGTTTATTGTTTTTAATTTTTAAAATTCCTCCTTTTGACATGTATGTGAATGGCGGAGTTGCCGCTTTCCTCCTTTTCGGTGGGTTTTATATTAAAAAAGGCATCAAAATGGAAAAAAACCTCCTTGGTATCTCTGCATCTGTTAAACTTTTTATGGGAAGATGTATGAAAATTCAAATTGCTATAATTTCATATGCTTAACAGTATCACAACAGTATGTTTACAGTATCTCCCCATAATTTTTCATATGAAAAAATGTGTTATATGCATCGCACTCGATATCATTGAATTCCTCATTAAAACATGTAGTCCCTCTATTTTAGCGTATCAACAGTTCATATGGCTTCATACCATGTAAATGCACCATTACCTATTCCTCACATTTTATTCAGTAAATGAATTCCATCTTAATGTAGAATATTAGTGTATAGTGTATAGTGTATACATACATACATATGTACTAGAGCTCGGGCTATTCGGTGAATCGATTAACCGAATTATTCGAATCTGACTGAAGTCGACTACTGTTAATCGGTTAGCAATATTCGAGTAGTCGAAAGCTGTCGACTATTCGGATAACCGTTCACTTTAGATTATTCAGTTAACCGTTCATTTTCGGTTAATCGAATATTTTAAGTTCGAGTTTTTTTTGCATTTACAGATACATATACATATATGAAAAGTCTTGTTACATTCGTAGTACGTATATAAGATTGTATGTGCCAAATTAAGGCAAACTTTTTTTGCAAGATATGTGCAGCAAAATACTGGAGGAAATAAAATTAAATTCTATCCCATATTAATTATTACTAACTCTTTGGTATCAATGTTAAGGGCTATATTATAAGACACATTTTTTGGATACTTTTTTTGCATACACCGTTATTTTGTGCCATATAGACCGCCATAAGGCAATACGTTTCTGAATACACATTGTGAATTGCCAAAATATGTTATTTCCATATTTAAGAATCATTTATTTCCAAATTAAAGGATGAAATACAACATAAATGTAAATAGTATATATGGATACCATAGTTTTTTAAACACATCGTTATTAAAAACCTTAAAATCCTATATTAACTTCATTTAAGAAACGTCTGTTTTGGCACAAAAATGTGAGAAGGTGTACATTTTGTGGCAGTAGGCAGCTTCTTCGTTGAGAGACAATGTTTCCACCAATAGAAAATGTTCGCTCCGACTCAGCTGAAGTTGCTGGAATACATAGATAACGCTTGGCTAACTTGAAAATATTAGGATAAATTTCGCTATGAGTTTTCCACCATGTTATTGGATCAATATTATGACCAAGTTGTGGTTCTGCAATATATAAATCTAGCTGTGACGTCACGTCATTGGGCAACGTGTCATCGTAAAACAAAAAGTCCAAATCCGTGGATTCTACTTTGGGCTCTGCCACATTTGTTGATTTCTCTTTTTCTAAATAGCTTCTTACAAAGTCATGAATTTTGGTTTTTGTTTCAACATCTTCGCCATACAAATTTTTATATCGTGGATCCAAAAATGTTGCTACAAGAGAAGCAGGAATGTCATCGCAACTGTTTCCAATGTTAAATCTTTTAAAAAAAGATCTTCTGGCACATTCTTTAAATATTTTTTCATTTATTCCATCAGTAGAAGATGCTGACATATGATTTTGAGTAAACCGATTTATTATAGGACGGACCAAAAACATCGTTACAGTTTTTGCGCTACATAACACTGTTGTAGCTTTATCAAATGGCTTTAAAACCCTCACCAGAGTCGCCATTTCGTTCCATTCTCTTTCAGTAAATTCAAGTTTAAGTGCATCGCATGATTTGCTGACTGCTCTATCTCCTAAAACTAAGCAGATTGCAATGCGGTTTAAAATTATACTTTCGCACATGTATAATTTCGAGTTCCAACGAATCTCGCAAGATTGAACTAGCCGATTTTCTTTAGTTCCCAACTGTACTTGGCGAATTGAAAGAGCATTTTTGGCTACGCTTGAGCGATGAAAATACGAAGACACATTTTTGGCTTTCTTGCATATTTCAGTAAACTGTGGAACGGCTCCAATTGCATCCTTAACAACCAACTGCAGAAGATGAGCGTTGCACTTAACACTATCAGGTATATTTAATAGTTTCTGTGCCGCAGCATTCATAACTGCTGCACTGCCGTGAGTTATTGATTGAACCTTATTTGAAATATTCCAATCATTTAAAACTGATTCGACAGTGGAAGCAATATTATCTGCATTTGGTCTTCCTGGAAGGACAAAAAATATTTAAGTAAAAGTAGATTTTCTATGGGTTTACATTAATACCTTCCAACTGCTTGTTACAAAGCGTAGCAGTGCACAAGCCGTATTTTGAGTTAAAATACTGAGCTTCTACTGATATATAAGAATCCAGCGTTCGAGAAGACCATTCATCCACAGAAATTGAAACACTTGATGCCTCCGCCAATTCATTGCATATATTGTCTTTGACGGATTTATATAATAGCTTCAAGCGAGAATGAATGCTTCTAACGCAGGGAACTTTGTAGCCGGGTTCTATCACTTTCATAAAATCTCTGAAGCCATCGGAAGACACAATTGAAAGCGGTAGCATGTTGGTTGAAATCAAACGTGCAACTGCTCGTGAAATTTCTTCTTGACGTTCGTGTGTAACGACGGCTGTGTCACCTTCTAGCCTCTTCTTCTTGGATTTGTTGGGCCTATCGCTTGAAATTTCACTGTGGAAAGCTTCGGCTGAATGTGCGCTAATTATTGAAATGTTATTGCGAAATATTTTAGAGACGATGGCTAAAGCAATACCTACCTCTCGTTTTCGCGATTTTTGTTATGGATTTTTGTTAAATGGTTGTTCAGTGAGAATGTGGAGGAGTTGTAGCACAAAACTTCACCACATATGGAACATGTTACTTCCTTTTCGTCCTCTGATTTTTCGAAAAAATCCCAAACCCAGCTCCTTTTGCGTCCGCTCATTTTTGTATCTGAATATACATACATATGTGTATGTCAAAGAAATTTCAATGAAAGTTCGGTTACTGAAATTCGATTTGCTACAATGCTCGAGTAGTCGAAGCAAAGCAACTATTCGAATAATCGCAGTCGAGCGACTATTCGAACACCATTAACCGACTAATAAGCATGCGAACGGTTACGAATCGAATAATCGGTTAACCGATTTGTCGAATAGTCGGATAATTTTACGAGCCCTAATATGTACCTATGCATTCGGTGTGCTTAAATTAAAAAAGCGTCACTAAATAACGCACCAAACATTGAATTACAATTATTTTGGCTTTTTGGTTTCCCAAAAGCACTAAATTTAGTGCAAAATGCACTTCCTTGGCAACAGTGAGCTGAGCACATCAATGCTCAAACAGTGATGTCAGACCAATTATTGAGTAAATGCGCTATGTATATTTTTCTTTTAAAGCAAAAGTTATAATTGGCGAGGGGATTGATTTTTGGTTCTTACATAGAACACTGATAAGATTCACAAACTTATCTTAGGACTTAATTAAAATAATCAACATTATTTGTAGACGCATATATTTGTGTTCGTATGAAATAGTAGCTTATGTCGGGAGGCTCGCTTTAATAAAATGTACCATTTCCTATATTCTTTAAACCACAAGGAATTTTTTTATGAGACTTTATACGAATATTGACTTGCTAGCATCGCAACTGCCTCTTTTACGTTTATTTTCCGAGAGTTCTTCAACGACTCAGCGTCAGTGAGTCTTTCGCAATCGTATGCTGCGAATGGTTCATTATACTAAAGCCAGTCTTCCGACATAAGCTACTATTCTATACGAACACAGATATGATAGGCTTGTAAAATGACCAATACCCAAATCCCTCGCATGAGTTATTATCGGTAAAAAATTGGATACGCTCAAATCTTGCATCGCTGCAGCAGGTACTTTGTCACGCCAGTGAAACAGTGTTGATATTTTAAGTACAATTGTACTTTTTTTAGTACAATTAATTTTAAAAAGTACAAAAGTACAATTTGCCGATTTTAAGTACAATTTCAACATCAAAAATACTTTTTGTACCAAACGCTCAAATCTCTTCTAGCACTTTGATTCTTAATCCGTTTACATTTAAGTAAATGGATATACCTATATTTCATATTTGCTACAAAACGAAATTATGAATTGTAATTTTGAATGTAAACGTGATTGTGAACAGTAATATTAGTGATGTGCGTTATGGTGATTGCGATTTCTTATCACCGGCGAGTGAAACACCCTCATCGCTATTTATGTTGAAAAAATCGTTGGAAATGCAATTTACCTAATTGCGATCCTGCAGAAATAGAAATAATTGAGCAATTCGGGGGTTGAAAGTAAAAAAATTTACAGTCAGTCAATAAAGTTTAGGTACAGCGAATTTTTTACTATACGGGCAACTATTTTTTAAATATTTTATTTTTCGATAATTTTTTATAAAAATATGGTCAATTCTACAACAAAAAACCCAAAAATCAGGGTTCCGAATCTTGTGCAAAATTAAAGAAAATTCCGCAAAATTTCATTCAAATATTGCACTTTTTATTTACGCTCTCTAGAAAGGTGTTGGGTATGCAGTTTTTTTAGCCCATTAAATTTTAGTATAACAAAGTGCAAGTTTGTGGTGGCTAGGACTTACCATAGATTTTTAGGAATTTTTTTTTGTTGAAGGTGTCGCTCATTTTCTCCATATAAAATAATGAGCGTAAATAAAAAGTGCAATATTTGAATGAAACTTTGCAGAATTTTCTTTAATTTTGCACAAGGCTTTGAACTTTTCTTTTTGTGGTGTGTGTGGCACTACGCACTGTGCTAAGTTCGCCTTGTAAATTATCGTTGTTTTTTTCCCACTTTTTCATTTGGTCAGCCAACACGATCAAGCGCAGCTATTCCGCTGCAATTTACTCTTGATCATGTGGTTGTTGGTTTTGTTGGTTTTTGTTAATAATTCTATTTTTAGAATGTTTAACTTTTAGGTGTGCTCGTCCTTAAGTTATTTGTTTTTGTTATTTATGGCCTTATAACAATTATATTCAACAATCAACAACGGCCTCAAGCTCAATAAAAATTGTTGAACATAATTGTTATAAGGCCATAAATAACAAAAACAAATTACAAATTAATTTCAATAAACATTTTAAATTGAAATAACACATATTTGATATAAACCTTAAGCAAATAATTAAAAGATGTATTATTTTTATAAACTAAAGAAGCAACTTTAAAAGAACTCCTCCAAAAGGCCTTCATATAAAAGCCCTTCTGGAAGGCCTTCCATGGGTGGCGAAAGAAGAAGCCTTGCAATTTGTGCCGACCCATACAAAAAAAAAAGAAAGAAAGGAATGTAGAGCGAAGAAAAATAGGAAAAAATTTTTAAAATGTGTCCACCAGGGTATAATTTACTTGAAAAAGTATCACAAGAGAGAGGTTTAAGAAAGGTTTTCGCACTGTCTGTATGCAGATGACCTCTACTTCGTCTCGAAAGTAAAAGTGTAAACCTTTCAAAACGCGTGAATTTTCTTAAAATTAAAAAATAGCATCAAAAGCGGCGCATACACAAGCTCAAAATTAACTACGGATTAGGAATATATGGAAACACTTCCAAACGGTGTCTACAGAAAATAAATAAATGTTACCATATGCATTTCGTACAACACAGATTTTGAAAATACGTACTGAGTTGAACCTCTCTACTATCGAAAATTGTATAGTTAAACTAACTGGGTATAAAATTTACAGCTGCTCTTAAAACACCGACAATATTATGTATACCGATTTTAAGCCTTTCGCCAGATCGAAGAAAAACCTAAAAGTTAGTTCTACAATTACAGAAATTTACGAAATAGCTAAGAATATAGAAATAGATATATCCCCAATAAAAACGTACAAAACATTTTACCCGGCGTGGAAGCCAATAGAAAATATGTTTTATTTTGGAACGAATTTCCGTCATCCCTTGTCCGTTCCAAAATAAATCATCTTACCACCCTGTCGGAAAAATCAACCAACACCAACACAGAAAATATGTTCATAACCAGTGGTAGCCATAAAACCAACACAAGCCCACTCATCCTAAGAAAACTACATGCGGAAGAAGTACAAACAAAAAGCACAAAAATTGGTTGATATGGTATTGTGACGGATCAAAAAAATTCGTAAATATCTTACCGATTACTTCAGAAGCGGGTAACTAATTAAAAACGGGCTTCTACCCATTTTTTACCTCAGAAATAATCCGACTTAAACTTGGTCACTCCAAGTTAACACATGGACACCTGATTACAAAGACTGCACCAACACAATGTCCAAACTGTAATGATACTTTAACTTTGCAATCCCTCATAAATTGTTACAACGATCCATAGCAAGAAGTCGATTTAGGCACAGCCACAGTATACATGCGGTGACCTGTATTATACGGGACAGTCCTCTTTGGTAATTCTTTATTTTATACGGGACGCCATGTCCTGTATTTGTCCCGAATTCAGGCATTTCGATGCTTTAACAGCTCATTGAAATGGCATGCCATGAACCAGTTTTAAGTGATGTTGGTATATGGTCGTAATTTTCTCCATAAACGATTTGTTTCTAATGTAAATACCTGTGATTCGAATAGAGTAATACATACAGTGACCAAAATATACATTTGGACTCGATATTTTAGCAACGTTTAGTTATTTTTCTTTTGTTTATTTAATGTTTCTTATATTTTTATGGAAGTAAAGCTCTGTTTCCTAACAAAAACCATATTTCCGACTTTGAGCAAAAAACTATAAAAATTAATTCTGCAGAGTTTCACCAAACTTTTTAATCAGAATATTTAGAAAAAAATTTGGTTAAGTTTTGTAGCTCATTAAAATTTAATATAATAAAGTGCAAGTGCAAGGTGTGCTGCTCATTTGCTTCTCTTTTAAAAATATTTTCGAACATACTTTGTACGAAAAAAGGGCGTAATACCAAAAAAAAAAAAAAAATTTGCCGTAAATCCTAGCTACTTCAAACTTGCACTTTATTGCACTAAAATTTAAGGCATTTTTTGTAACAAATTTTGTGGGGTAAAAATCTCGAGACAAATATCTTATAAGCTTTAAATGTTACTTTAAGGATGCTCTTTCAGCTTTAATACATTTAGGATCTTTGAAGAAGGTTCTAAGATCTGTTGGCTTTTGTGAAAAAAAATAGCACAATTATTTTTCGTCCTTTATTCGGCCCCCATAAATATGGTCATCGTAAGTATACAGTAAACCAGCCAATGACAATATATTGGAAAATTAATACATGAAATATTGTGCATGTATGGGATTTTTTTGTCATTAACCCATATACAACGACTGGTGCAAAAGTACCCACAAATGTTGTTGATATATTTGAAATATAAATTTGAACAACAAAGTAAAAAGAAAAAAATAATAAAAAAAATATAGTTAATTACTGTATCAGAGTTGGGCTTGTTTATTGACAGATTTCGCCAAATTTAATACTAACCTAAATTATACCAAAGGCAACTTCGGCACCGACTTTCGTTATAAGATTTAAATTTTGTCCGAGTTAGCGTGTTTACAAACAGACACGGCTGAACAAATTGCATAAATGCATAAAAATTTCGTGCATTTGTTCGAGCGTAGAGATATAATTTTTTGTACATATTTCATAAAAGCAATGGAGGTCTCCACTATAAGAGTGGTAATTTTGAAAATTAAAGAGTTCTAGCTTTAAGCTAAGTAATATATGTATTACTAATCGATGGGACCATTTCCAAAGGCAGCCCACTATTATTCACTCGAAAGTTGTGTACGGAACATGGTATGGGTTAGGAGCTGCATCCGGTAATAATCGCTTACTCTTCATGCCTGATTTGCTTGGAATTTTGTTTTTCTCGTTATTTTATTTTATGTGACTTGAAAATATTTTTCACTATAAGAAAATATTGAATTTGGATTTCATTTGGGCTAACAAAAACGA